TTTTTCATCTTTTCACGGTGTATAATTTACCTTTTCATCATTACTGTTTCATTAGAAACACCGACGCAGCTCACACTAGTTTTTAGCTAGTTATATCTTTTTATTGCTATGATATTACTTAATTATCAAAAATGTCTGACGGCCTATTTTTTCCGCTTCACTTGTCCTTGGACGAAGTCAGGTCACGTAGCGTAAATATACTTGATCACATCATGGCAATTATTGGAACTGAACGAGCGGTTTTCTATAAACATAGATCAAAAATAATTTGTTCGTTCGACTAGAACTTGTTTAGTGAAAAAAAGTCATATCTCGTGCCTTCTGCTGATGAGGACGCGCAGTGCTAAAATTCCTCCAAATCATTTAACTCAGGCTTCACGTATCCGGATTTTTTTGAAAAAGTTTTTTTTTTCTTTGCGTCACACGTATCCGGTGAATACGCCACTTGAAAACGCAACTTTTCGAAAACTAATACGTAATGTTTTTAAAAAATCTATTAAAAAAATTAAAAAAAAACTGGTAGAACAATTTTTAAATAAAGAACAGATTATTATCAGTATTTTCCCCATATATTAGCTTATAATTTTAGTAATTTGTTCTTTTATAGAGTGAAGTGATTAAACCCGTGAAATAGATATTGATTATACACACTAGTAAACCCTAATTCCATTGTTTTCTTTTGTGTCTATTTGACTATTACACATTGACTAATAATTTTTATTTCACGGGTTAAATGCCTTCACTCTATTATCACTATTGTACTTTATTGTATATAGATAATCATTATTAGATTTTTATAGATTTTAAATTTGTAATTATTGTGTTGTTCACTGTGGGGAATGTTGAAGCAAGGCGAGGAAAAGAACAACTCATTAAAACACACAATGATGTCTCCGCAGGAAACTCAGGCACTGTCCACATGTATCCGGATATTTTTGAATTCGGAATTTTATCTTTAAATTTTCAAAATTATTCTCATCCACACGTAGCGTTTTCGAATCGTTTTTGCCCGTCCACACGTATCTCTCTTTCGAAAAGTGGCTCATCTTGCAGCGCCAAAAAAGACCCCGAAATGTTGCGTTTTCGAGGGCAATCTGAAAATTACGATTTCAAAAATATCCAGATACGTGGTCGAACGGGTCCTGAGTGGGCTATTAAAGTGCCAAAGTGAAATCCAGTACTCATACTATTTAATAAGTTAACCGTTATAAATCTAGCGTTCTAATTGGTTGGGAACGCGTGCTTTATGAGAGCACAGGTTTCAAGGTTTCAAGGTTTTTTTATTTCCCAGAATGAGAATTTTATACTTTACATCACTATGGGTGCGCACTTTCTATTGCGCCATCTCTCCAAATAGAAAATAAAAAAACCTGCTTGCTATACTTTGTGTAGTTTCAGTGTTACAAAGCACTTGGGAATTGGCAGAAGGTTCGGACTATGTTGGAATTTTTCTCAATGAATAATATGCCGGTTTAGAAATTAGCAGTTACCTTTGAATAAATAACACAAGAAAAATTATGATTCATTGCAAAAGTATTTTGAGTACGTCAAGGCTAGAGAAACAAGTTTTTCCGCATTTTCTGTAGGTCGACCCTTGAACACATCCCAAGTCATTTGAAGTCGACATCACGACTCACGATGGCTTCCAAAAGGAATGTCGTCGCTTACCTTGGGATTTTGCTCGTTTACGCTTTTTTGGCAATTGCCTCATCGAACGGTAAGTAAATAGAAAATTAGCAACAGTTACCTAACTAAAGTTTTAGTTAAAAATCGTGAGGAATTTTCAAAAAGTCTATATGTTATTCTTTTGAGGACCGAAATATTTATTTGTTAGTACATGATATTGGGCTTCAAAACAAAAGTTCGTGTAAAGCAATATTTTATTATCTAATTGAATGGTTAAGTGCTCTAAGTTTGGATACTATATATTGCTCTAGACTGACTAACGACTGACTACTCTCTCATACGTGAAAACGCTTTTATGTTTCCACGTGAACAAGAGGGTCAAGAGGGTTCAATGCTGAACAATAGTGATTGTAATTGTTCGCCAAGTTTCCATTCTGCGTATAAATTTCAGGCATAATAAAGCTCTATAAGAAAATAATATACAGCAAGAATAAGAAATAGAAATATATACATCTATACTTTTACTTAACGTCTGTTTGCTATAGTTCGATTGCACGTTACGTCGGTCATGTTGGTGCCATTTAACAAAAGATTTCTCATTAGCATCCTTTGTTATAACGACACCACAATGGCCGCCATGTTTTTGTATTTTGACTCGTTGGGAATGCTTTCAATCCATCAATAACGTCAGAGTCAAATGCATCTATTATCACGATATTCTTCGTTTGCGCGTTACGTCATCGCGGCCATGTTGGTACCATTTAACAAAAGATTTATCATTAGCATCCATTGTTAACGGYACCACAATGGCCGCCATGTTTTTGTCTTTTAACTCTCTTGGGAATGCTTGCAGCCCATCAATTGCCTATGAGGTTTATTGGAATGACTTTTAAAATGTTATGTAACAGTCTTTAGAATTCTACAAGTCCGGAATTACCTTAAGATCAAGAAAAAGAAAAAAAGTACTGCACCTCCAAAATAATCATTATAATCCAGTCAAAACCAAGGAACTAGCGTGAATTTGTTACTAATTGTTGGTGTTGGCAATAAAGTCATTTTCTAGAAGGAATTTGTGTCCTTGGAAACAAATCATACAGTGTTAAGGGTTTTCAATTTGACCCCCCAAAAACAAATAACCTATAAATGAAAGGAATATTCAAACTAAGCATTTTGAAAAAAACATTTCAGAGCGTTTGCGAGCCTCAATGCAGGAAAACCATCTCTATAAAGGTTTTGCACCATCACTTGCCGGCGCCATAATCCAGCTTGGACTGCCTGTGGTTAGATGGCAGAACAATAAAACCCTGTGCTCTCGAGATTCGAATTCTTTCTCATGTAAAACGATTGTATTGTTTCTGCCATCTAACATGACTGCCGTCACGCGATGTTGCAAAACCTCTATACACAGGGAACCCAAACAGCGCACTAGGCTTTTAAATACTACACATATCGTATCATACATATTTAGTTAATGGGTTATTAGACTAAAAGCATTCCATAAACGTTGAAATTACAAGATACAGTCGTGCTGTTTAGAATTAAACTATCAACCAACCGAATAAACCTTTTGATTATATTGGAACCAAAATGGCGGATGTGACGTCATAAAGTGGCCATTTACTGATCGAGTGCGTGAAACACGAAATTTATCTGAAAAAATAAAGTGAAAATTATATCGAAAAACAACTCTCAAATTATTAGCCTATTATCAATTAATCATTATTTCATATCTTAGCTTAATTTAATCTTAGTTCCATCAAGTATTAATCTATTAGGATTTTAGAAGAGAGGGCGTGCTTGTAATTTGGTAAATGTAAATAAATTCAATACTGAAGAACTGATTTGATTAAGCTATGAATCTAAAAACCAATTATTTCAATATTATTTAAAAACATCCCAATACATCTGACTAACACATCTGGCATGCAAGCGATAGTGCCTATTGTACGTGCTTAAGAGACTGTAATAATACTTAATGATGTATGGTTCGGGATTTATCGGTACTTAAAGATTACGAAAATAACAGGTTACGTTCGAGATAAAATTGTAGCATGATAACAGTCCAAAATGCATGAAACCCTAAGATCAATGGACTTTTTTCGAGTTCTAAATTACGGCTGTGTTCCTTGATTACAGACTCTATTACCCAGGGTTAGTCTCGAATCAGTGTCTGAATATTCATAAATACCAACGGTAAAATAAAAAATGCACAAATTCAACAATTTAAAAACTCAAAATTCCACGGACTTCACTGGAATAATGAATATTCTGCACAAAGTCGAGGTTAAACCTGAGCAACAGAGAACTTGAAACTGGAGTATAATGTTGTTGAGGAGTACAACTGACTAGCATTTCTACCAAAACAAATTCTGATAATTGTGTTCAAGTGGAACGAACAAAATGATTTTTCGAATTAGTAAAAATCAGAATCTTGCTCTCAATGATTTAAATCTTTTGAATTAACTGGCCCCCTAATGTGTTAAACAGTTTACTGACCGAACGCAATTGTTTTTAAAAGTACTATCAAAGTATGCTGCAAAAGATTGTAATTCTAAACACACCAAGAATTGTATAATCACGTGGGTTTACAAGAGTGATTTACCGTTAATCCAGTGAAAAGAGACGCAAAAGAAAATAATGCAATTAAGGTCTATTATAAAATAACTAAGATATAACTCAACATAGGTCGTGAGGAAATGACGTCAGCTGCGCGCGCGATGTTTTGCTTGTTTCCTATGTTTTTTATTATTCTTTTTGAGTTAATCGTTAGTTATATCTTAGTCATTTTATAAAAGAGATAGAAAACTCCCCTTGCTTGTGCTATGTTGAGTTATACAAGCACGCGGGAAATTGCGAGAGTCCGAGAGAAGCACGAGCCGTAGGCGAGTGTTTCTCGGCACTTCTCGAGGGCTCACGCAATTTCCCGCGTGCTTGTATAACTCGCAATTTCCCGCGTGCTTGTATAACTCAACGTAGCACAAGCAAGGGGAGTTTTCTATCTCTTCACTAACTTTTAAACGGGTTTTATAAAACCATTTTGATAGAACCCGCGGTCAAAAATGATTGGTTACATGTTTTTCCACATGGCAGATTCGGGGTAATGTGACATTTTGAGCAAGGCCAAAAATAAATCAATTCGTCCTGTCCTAGCATGGACTCTCGCACTCACTCCTACTGACGTTAATTTCTTATGACACTTAAGATGACAAAAAAATTTGTTCATTTATGATGGGAAATTTCTCTCATAGCTTTTGAACCCCTCTTGTTTTTCTATTCAAGGTATGCAAAGAACTTTCGAGTTATTATTAACAGGTTCACACTGTGTCGTATTCTTCGATTGCACGTTACGTCTTCGCGGCCTCTCGGGGGAGCGTTGGTGCCATTTAACAAAAGATTTCTTATCACCATCCATTGTTAACGGCACCACAATGACCGTCATGCTTTTGTCTTTTAATTCTCTCGGGAATGCTTGCAACTCATCAATTGGAACAAACTAGAGTATGTGATATTAAAAAGGTTGTTTACTAGTAAGGCGACTCCTACCTTAGGATGAACTCTTTTATCTATTGTGTTCAGTAAAAGTGAGTAAACATGAAAACGTCAAGGGAAAATATCTAGCGTCGAGTTGTAGCCAGATTTGGATGATGTTTTAGGATCATAAGATGGTAGTGGAATATGTTAGAATGTTGTTGCATGATATGGTATGATGTTGAGTGATGTTGTATGATGTTGAGTGACTGTTGTATCAATGTAAGATTTGGATGATGTTTTAGGATCATATGATGGTAGTGGAATATGTTAGAAAGTTGTTGCATGATATGGTATGATGTTGAGTGACTGTTGTATCAATGGTTAGATTTGAATAGTTTGACTGCAAAGCTATCGCTATTGCCGGACTATGATTTGAGTGTCTTCAAGGTCGGGTAAGTCAATACCGATAGCTTTGTAGTCAAGCGTTTAAAATTCGGAGTCGGAATCCTGTGACATTTTTAAGAAACTCTTTTGATCGATGTCCACCAAAACTCAATTTTTCGTTTGTGATGAAGGTCAAGTAGACTGGGAATCGCAGTAATGCACGAAAACTAACAAATTTTACAAATACAATTACATAAGGTCTTGTATTTGACTACAAAATGCAACTGAGGAGATAGCAACAGCATTTGTAGTTGCTTTTTTTCCGAATCCTTTTTCTCAATGACAGTATGTATTTATGAAAGACTGGAAAATCTGCTTTTTGTAGCCTGGGTCACATCCGCCGACTTTTTTCTCGGTTAAGTCCAATTTTTACTGAAAATTTCAGTAAAACAGCTCAGTGTTCCGACTTTGTTGTTTGTGATTCGTTTAAGATATCACGCCACCAGCTTTTGTTTTCACGTTCTGATCACGTGCACCGTTAAATTTGCCATTGGATAAACCGCATATGCATTATTGCTGCATGGGTGACCTAGATTCTGCGTGTTAAGCTCATCAGCTGCATAGGTTAGGTTAGGTTGGGTTAAGTTAGGTTATGATTGAGGTTTGGAATTTTTCGAAATTGAAATATTTTTAAGTAAGACAGACTTTTAGCGTGAAATATTTTAAAAAGGATTTTAGTCACGATCAAAAAATTTTAATTTAAAAAAAAATGCTTGCGTAAGTAAGTTGCAGTAGACCTGAACCTCACGTTTGTTATCAAGTGCATTGTCACATCTGAACGACTACTAACTTTAAGGGTGAGAACCATTTCGTGAATGTTGCCAAAGGCACGAAACTGTGATCATGGCAGCTACACAGAAATTTGCCGGCGAATTTCGAGTTGCGTTAAGTTTTGCCCTTTTTACGCTTGTCATTGGTAAGTAAAAATTAATGATTTCAAAGCATTATTGCAAAAAAATATTTAAAATAGCTTTGATTATTAGTAATAGAGCTTTTAGAATGTAAACGATAAATATATATGCGGACAACTTGGAAAGAGTATGATTGCGTGTGTATAGCAACTGAAGTGTTTTTTACCAACGGTTTTTTTTTTCTGATTAAGAATTTTAAAATATTTTCCATTTATTKCTTTTGACGAACATTTYAACGTAAGAATATTTCAACAGTTAGATATCTTGAAAGTTTTAAATAGCATATTTTCAAAGTTTCAGTCTCTAAATACTGAACTTTAAGATATAAATCAAACTGTTGATCTAATGACTGCTGCATTTGGTCACTCGGCAAAGCCTTTTTGGGGGGGGGGGGTCATTTTTGAAATAAAATCAATATAGATAAATCAAATTAGGTTAAAGAAAAACCTTGGCATAAAATCGCTTGAGAGATTACTACTACTATTACCCTTCTATTAACTATGTATTAGCAGAAAAACGTGAAACGTTTTCCACAACAACCATCAGTAATTATATTATTGCTTGTTGGATACATTTACACATGTTTTTTTAACGTGCTTATGAACAAAACACCAAGTAACTCGCCTAACACAGTTTTTCACAGCGGTATCTAAAATATTCATACTTTGAGTAACTTTTCGTATAAATATACGCCGCGATTAAACTATTATATAGATACCGCATTATTCTTTTACCTGCAACGAGATAACTCTGATAACTTAGTTACTCGAGAATATGGTCTCGTTCCCACATTATTCAATGACCCAAGATCTAGAGTAAGAAAAGCCTAAAACATCTTTAAGTTTTGAATCAAATTCAAACTATTTGAACTATTTATCAAATTCCTCTTCTGTTAGAAATTTCTTTTTCGTGGTTACATGCTCGACGAAATATTTAATTTAATTTGTAATTGAGTAACTTAAAAAATTCTAGATATGTATATGACGTTATGGTTATTCAAGCAGATATTCGACCAATAGCTTCAATATCAATTGAAAATAAATATTTAAAAATTAATTTCGTTTCAGAACATACTCTCTAATACGAGTGGAAGGTGCGTTATAGACGTTAATAGATGTTATTTCCATTTTTTCCCTGATTTGACTTTTACACATTATTGACAAGGAATTTTTATTTCAAAAGTTAAATAAAACCACTCTACACATGATCGCATTCCAAGATTAATGATTCATCACTTTTGATTTAAAATGGTCTCTGACTTGTGAAATTTCAAACACAAGTAAATCACAATCATTTAGAAGGATTGATTTCGTGTCTAAATTTAATCGATTTTTCACAGATTCGTTGGATAAGATTACTTATCAATCAAATGCAAATTCTGTTGTATGCCTATACGTCGCAGACTAATACTATTGTTTAGAGATAATAAGATCTTTTGTTCAATTTTTAATGAGAAAAAACATAACGTCAACTATCAAATTTTCCGTTTTGATTTTTGCCATATTTTTTTTATCTTTCTTTTTGGTTTTCCTTCTACGTTTGGCTATGTTATATATTTTCATTTTTATGTCTTTACTTTCGTTTTTTACGCTGTGTTATGCAATGTTATACAATGCTGTTGTGCATACCATATATTCGTGAAAAAGTTAACTGTTGCGTAAATTCGTGAAAAGTTTTATAGGTCTAAGGTCTACTAAACTTACTAATATTGTAAATTTGCGCAATTACTTTAAATTTTTTTAACGATATGGTATGCACTTCACTGTTAATTATGCTATTTTATACTATGTCTTTGATCAACCATTTTACTTTTCGTGTCATGAGTCAAGTCCATTGTTAACAACACTGACCGACACCGAAGGAGTGTTTATTTATGCATCTCTCTCCCTCGAACACTGGCCCCCTCCATCCCTAATTAATATCCCTTGCCAAAGCAAATGAGCCCGAGTCACTAACAATAAACCTTCGAATAAACTAGAACGTTATCGAACGTGCGTACGTGATTTCATTGCAATTTTTCATGAACCGTTACGTTACGTCAATCAATTAAACTCAGCTCACTTGAATTCAAGCACCGTAAATTCCATTCTTAAGTTCTTAGGTCATGATAATTTAGGGTACAATATTTTATAGGTCATGATAATTTAGGGTGCAATATTTTAGGAACGGGGGAAAGGGATTAATGGGGTTTTATATAGTTTTAATATATATTAGATACACGACCTCACCTCTCCGCTGTAATCATAATTTTACACGCTGTGTTTTAAATAAAAGCCATTATAAATAATAAGTGATTTATTTTAATTTAATTGACTCTTAACATTTAACTGGAAAGATTTCAATGATTTAGCAAGTAGAGTCTCCGCTGGTAGACTGTTCAACAAAGGTAATATCTTAGGAAAAAAAGAAAACTTATAGGTGTTTGAATGTGCATGAATATGTCTAAATTTGAAAGGATGATTTGCTCTAGTTTTGGAATGTGAAAATTGCACAGAACTTGGAAGATATAGATAAATTAAGTTATTTAACGACCTGTACATAGATCCTAAGTTTCTCTGTTTTTCAAGGCTGACCCAACCCAGGGAGTGTGTCATTGCTGTTATACTTGAATACTAAGGATAATCAGAAAATACAAATCTAGCAGCAGACCGATTGATGGACTCCAAGGAGTTAATATGCTGCTTTTCAATTGGTGACCAACAAGGTGAAGCATGTTCGACACTTGATCTTACTAATGAATTATACGCTTGCTCTTTACATATTTACTACAGCTAGATAAATTTCTACATAATAGTCCTAGTATCTTAGAAGCTTTAGAACGGACTTCTCTAACCTGTGTGTCCCATTACAGATCATTTTGAATAAAGATGCCAAGATATTTATGGAACGAAACTACCCCTATACGTTGTCTTGCCATTATATAATTATTATTGATAGCATGATCTGACCTAGATCTAGTTATAGTCATAATGTTACATTTATCTAAATTAAGGGTTTATCTGCCAGGCATTTGCCCATTGAGAGATAGAGTCAATGTCATTTTAAAAGATGACTTGATATTGAGGGCTCCGTATTTCACGGTACATGACAGCATCATCAGGAAAGAGCTTTATTTCCGAATTTAGGCCATTTACAATGTCATCGATGTAAGTGATGAATAAGAAGGGTCCCAGTTCAGATCCTTGAGGGACGCCTGATGTCGCGTCGGCCCAGTCTGATTTCTCACCTCCAACTTGATTATTAAATCATAAATATACAGGAGGCTGTGAAGGCCAACGTCCATTTTTAAGGTTGAGGGCACAGTTTTTCCCTATCTAGACCTACTTAAAACGGTAAATAACTTATTTTCATTTCGAACTTATTTTATTAACTTAACTTAATTTCAATATTTTCAGAATTGATTCTTTAAATAGTGGATAGTTGATTGTGAAAATATTTCGTCATTTGAATGTCGGGTCTTTAAGATATGAAGATTTATATTCCCAATATGTTAATGACTATGACGTAACATAAGGGATCATTTAATATACAATACTGCACTCGTTCTGGAATACAGTATTTTAAAAGCATCACCCTTTTATTCGTGACTCACGTAAAGGTTCTTACAAATTTGTTTTCAAAAAATGTCCAGCGTTCGATATTAAAAGTTGCCACAAAATGACTCAAATCCCTTGTTACGTCATAGTCGTTAACATATTGGAAATATAAACCTTCGTATCTTAAAGACCCGACATTCAAATGACGAATTATTTTCACAATCAACAATTCACTATTTGAAGACTGAATCAATTCTGAAAATATCGTGTAAAGGCTTATAAGCACTTTAACTTCGCCATGTAAAAAAAGACGAGTTAATTAACATAAGCATAGAGGTTTGGCAGGGATTCTGCAACAGCGTTAGCCAATTACTGCGGGCCCAGTTAGAAAAAAGTACTTTAACTGAAGAAAAATTAATGAGAAAAAGTAAAAATATATGTACAAAAATATAGTTATTGTAAAAAGTATAAGTTAAGTGCAGAAAGATACACTAGCATTCAAGCTGCGCGATGTTACATTTTAGACATATTGTCTTGAAAGTACGTGGATTTTCACAGTTATAATGATCCAGTGAATTAAAATAATATTTCAGTTTATTCAGTAGTTTTGAAAGAGTTCAGATTATGCATAGAGAGGTTTAGTTCATCAGCACGTCTGCACCATGCTCTTGTTGCTCTGATAAGAAAGGACTTCTGGTCTTGACGACTTTGCTACTTGATGATCTTGAGAAAATACCGCCCACCCAAACTGCCAATCAGAACGCACGATTTTTAGAATACCGGTTTGGAAATTATTATTTTTTTAATCGACAAGTGAGTCAAATTTACAAGAAGGATAATGCCTAATAAGTAAAATTTACAAAATGCCAAAGCTTAACATTAGGGCACGGATGTACGAAAGTTAGATAGCGCAATTCGACGGATAAGCCTTATTCAGTGCATAAATTTATTGGATAACAGCATCGACTTATCCAATGGATAAGGATTAATTCTTTGGATAGTGCTATGCAACGGGTCCAGTTCTTTAACTTAGACTATTTCTTTCAAAAACAGCTTAAATTTCTTTCATATGGTCTTTGTTAATAAAGTATCGCAAAAGTATATAATCACGAATTATTTTGGATATTCCGCGAAAATTAACATTTATTTGTTCATAAAAACTCTAAAACATGTTGAAATGCACTATCGTGCCTATAATACTCCACTTCAATGCATACCGCTGCTTTCGAGCACCACAGACTCACTTGTACACAATTAGCCTCGATCGGTTTTCAGTCAGCTATTGATAGATACCATTTGAATTCCATGGGATTTTGAAACATTGGTATTGTTCAAGCTGCATATTCTTTCAATTACAGTTGACTTTTTGAAAGATGATTTGTTCTTCAACGAGGCAAAAACCTAGACAAATGAATCTGTAGTCATACAACACAGCGGTATTTACTGAAAGAGAAAAATATATTTATATTTACGATTATCTTTTGTTTCTTTGGCAGCGTGTTCAGATGTTGATCCCTGTTTGAATGGTGGTACTTGTGCGAGCAGTAATAACACAAGTTTCTGTCAATGTCAACCAGAATTCACAGGCCCTCGCTGTGAAACACGTAAGTAATATAACTATAATAATGTCATCAACACGTTATCAATCTAGGAATTCAAAATCAAAACAAAATTAATAATAAAACTACTTATAAATACATATATGACTTAAAGCTTTGTACCCAACTACTCTACCCTGCACTTAATGGACCTCTATAGCTTAGGTGTAATGCTTTCCCGTTTACGAGAACATGTTCCATTATTTCTGAAAAGGCAAGAACATTTAGCGGTCGTGAATGAAAGGATAAATGAATATTCATTTTATACATCACACGTGGTCAGAAATGAAAAAACAATTCGTCCAAGACAAGAAGGTCCATTGTGCGTGCGTCTGTGTCCTCAACAACCGATATCAAATATAGAGTCAAAAATTTGGTAGCGGGTGTTTTGTTGTGATGTGTCGTCTTCTCAAACATTTTCAGACTATGGAGAGGGTAATTGTAGTTCTTTGACACGGAAGTTCTTACTCATTTTCACTTAAATGACCAAATCTGTTACACACTGTAATGTGACGTTATTCAAGCAAATCACTACTAATAGGTTATGTAACTCTTTTAATGAAGCAGCTGTTCGAAAATAAACCAATAAAATGTAAACAGTATTTGAATGTTTGCATGACTTTCATGGGAAACGGAAAAAATTTGCTCCACACTCAACCATCAAGTTATACTCGAAAAACAATAAATACCAGCGCACTAACGAGTTTGTTTTCTTGCAGTTGCGAACCCATGCGTCTCCAATCCCTGTCAAAACAATGGAACGTGTAACAACTACACAATTGGAAACTACACCTGTTCATGTACACCACCATACACGGGAAGCCAATGTGAATCCAGTAGGTCACAGGACCATTCTAGTTTTCTTACTTTCCCAACTCTTCACCACTGTTTGGCTAAACAACGAAAGCACTTCCTTGTTTATGTCATACATATTCCCATAACACCTCTTCAACATCTTCTCAATCTCCACCACCATAACTTCAAATATTAATATGCAACATTATTTTCACAGACAATCCTCCTACTACAACCACTGGTATTCCTATTACAACAACTAGTCCTTCTACTACAACCACTGGTCCTCCAACTACCACAACTGGTTCTCCAACTACAACCACTGGTCCTCCTAGTACGACCACTGGTCCTC